GCTTAACCCTCATTTTCCCGGGCCGGGTTAGGGTTGACCCGCCTAACCCGGCCCAAATTTTCCACCTCTAATTCTGCTACAACTATTAAAGCAAAACCAGGCTCAAGTTATAACCTAATTAAGAACAGAAGTTTTGGAGGGGACCAAAGAATTGGTATAATTGGAGAAGATGAGGAGACAACAGGGATTCCAATTGGTAGATTTGATTTAGGATTTTAGGTAAGCAAAGGCAATGGTAGGAAGGTCAAGGCTTTCCATTTTAGGAAATAATGGCATCTGAGCACATGAATTAGAGAGTTCAGGCCCAACAATTGAAATTAATTGATGGAGGTGGCACAAAGTGTTTAATTGATTTGATGAATCATTCGTATCATATTGTCTATGCTTTTTTTAATCTTCTTTCTTTACTTTTTGGTACCCTTTGAGTTTGTGGTAGTTAGAAGGGGAGTGGCTACGGGTGAGTACGTAGGACAAAGCAAATTGATGAGAATTTTCATGGCGTACACCACTGGACCTTTCCATAAACAGAAAACCAGTGGTTCGGAAAAATATCAAAATGACACGTGTTTTGGAACTATGATGTCATTCTACCTCGTTTTCTATCTAATAAAACCCTAATTATAAAATATTTCATATATCTTTAATTGAAATTACTTTAAAGTCATATATATTTTCTTAACATTAACTAGTTTCTTTTTTAAGCATCAACTCTATATTGATACTTTAATTTAAAATATATAGATAAAGTATAGTTATGATTGGTTTTCTTAAGGTTAATATTCAATATAGTTTTGTTTAGTTTTTTTTTCTTTATCTTTTGTGAGTAGTGTTATGGATTTTCGCAAGTGTACGGAATCGTGCAAGTAATAAAGTGTAAAATTATGGATATCAAACGCAAGGGAATTACTACTATCAATTACCAATTAAACTATCCTATTACTATTTGATCAATCCAAATTGTATCAAGGAAAATCTAAACTAAATTAACAATTGAAATTAAAAAGCGAACTGAACAGAGGACAATTAAAATAAACCTTTGGGTTAAAACAAGATGACTAGACCTAGGGCATAGACTTCACACCAACTCTTACTCATATGTATCGATCACTTATGCTAATTTTATTAAGCTTTTCATGTAGGTCAAACTCCCTAAATTTCCAATAAATTTCTCTCGAACAATTCTGGAATTAACTCCTAATTACTAACCCGAATGATCTCTAATCAGATTTAAGCAATTGAAGATCATTACGCTATATGGACTCTACCAGAACCTCACAAGTCACGGTAACCCATCTCTAGCGTTCGCTCAACCTATGGTTTCACTACCGTAGACCAACCAAGTATCATCTCTTGATCTCAACCTAGTCTATTAGTTCATTCAATTCAAGGGCCCTTAAGAATCAAAAGCATTAGGTATAATAGTAAAACTTAGGAAGAATTCTTAATAAAAATTAACAAGCATAAATCAATACATAATCAAGAGATTGGGCTACATCTTAGCCCTAGAGAATAAATTTAGTTCATAATAAACATAACAGAAACAATCATCATGAGTTTATAAGAAAAGAACAAGAAAAAAACTTCTTTAAATTGTGGATCAAAGCTCCAGGACTTATGTTACTTCTCTTCTCTACAGATTTTTCTCCTCTTCTTTTCCCCTAGGGATCCCCAAAATAATGCTAAAAGACTTCTATTTATATCCCACAAGGGTTAGGGTTTTATTTTCCTTAATTTTATTTGATTTTGGACTCTTAACCTTATTTTCCTACCTAAAAACGGATGACAATTTCTTAACTTCCGTGACTATGCCTCGGCATTGTGTTGCGGCATGGTAGCTACTGGAAAAAGTGTGCCGCGGCATTGTGCTGCGGCACAGTAATCTCTTCTTCTTCCCGCATCATTCCATTATTCTTCAGAGATGGTGATTTTTGAACTCGATAACAATGAAATTTGGAGAAGTGGTAAACATATGAAATGTAGCCCTTTGAATCAGATTTCCAACAGTTAAGGAATCGTCTTAATCCGAGTTCTACAGCTTAAGATATTCTCAAAAGACCAAGGCCTACTCAAGCTAGAATGTAATCTAGAATATTCTCTTTACTACAACTTCCATAACTTCTTCAATTCAACTTTGATTCTTGATCCATTTGTTTCCACTCATTGCTCATTCCGTTGCCGACATGATTCTTCATCCGAGCATAACATTTAAGCACTAGTAGCCTGAAAAACACTCAAAAACACCAGTGATCCCGTAAAAGACAATTATGAAAATATTAAGCAACTTTACCCAATTAAGCCTAATTTCCCATAATTAATCCCTATCCACTAACTAAATGTGTATTTTCAAGCTCTTATCACAGACAAGCTAAGCGATAAAACAATTCCTTTAAGCTTGAAACACAGACAAAATAAAATCTATATCTAAATTATCCTAAATCACTTCCGTAGATTGTCACGGTTGCATTTAGCATATGCAACAAACCTTTAAACCCCTAAGCGACCCTAGTTGGACCAGTTGTAGTCTCGTGAGGGTTTCTAACGATGATACCCACAAACATCCAAACCTAATCTCACCTAGACTCAAAACTAAAGACTCAAACAAACATTTTAGGGTCCATACATATAATCGTCTCAAAAATTGTGTTAATGTGAACAAATTGAATAATTAACAACACGCAAATGCAAAGAATAAGTGAATTTCAACTACACTTTTGTAATTGACTCTCTCATAATCATTCATAAACCATTCATCCAAAAACCCAGATGATTTTATGCATAGCTTTCATAGGCAAAGTACGAAAATAAAACAAATGTGCAATCAAACTCTATAGGCTCACTTTTCAAACCATTCTCCACTAATGTAGAATCCAATCACTACCTCGGATTATTAGGTCTTTTTCATGGTTGTAATGTTAGGCTAGGGTAATGGTTTATGAAAGAATGGAAATAATGTTTAACAAAATGTAAGACTTAATATTCTACAGTAAATGAGCATGAACAATCTCCTCCTTGCTTCCCTTCTCATTCACCCTCTACCCTTTCACATTGATTGAACTCTTCCTTCCAACATTAGCACAAACCCTCATGTAATATACCTCATTTCAAGTTCTTCTCCCTAGCTACTTATTCCTATTTTTCTACAATTTTTTTTTTCAAATTTTTTTTTTCAATTTTTTTTTTTTTTTTTTTTTTTAGGAAGATAGTAACTCATAAAAAAAATTCGTTTACCCCACCTTACTTCTACCATCATTTTTTTTTTTTTTTACAACCCCCAACCTATCTTATTGCACATACTCAAGTTGTGGTCCAAAAGATATATTTATTTTTTTCTATCACACTTCTTTTCATGAGTTTTTCTTATAAGGTCACCCTAAGTTAAGTCTCTCACAATAAGATGGGTCGGAAAGTGTTTTAGGCTTCATCGTCAAGGTGAGATATAATAGGTTTACAAAAAAAAAAATAAGGCTTACCAAGTGTATAATAATAGGCTCAAAGGGTTAACTAGGGATAAAGTAATATAGGTTGGCTTGAAAGGCTCAATCATTCCAAAGAAAATTGCCTAAATCATAGCCTAAGTAATGCGGATTCTAGGATTTCGCCTCAAGTGGTTATCAAATGAGTTCTAGAGTTTATGCACAATTTTCACAAAAGAATTATTGCCCATAAAACCACACATAAAACGCCTCCAAGTTTCTGAATGATTAAACCAATCAAACTCATTCCCAAGAGAGTCATAACTAAATGCAATTGTCATCCACTATCATCCTTACACTACACGAAAGTTAGTAAAATCTCAATGTCACAAATTCGCAATCATGATCTTATCATTGACTTATGTATGAGTTCCAAAACAAAGCAAAATACATTAACTCTATGACCCTACAACACACCTAAACAATACCACCCAAAAGCTTTTAAAGAGATAATTCAAAGCAAAAGATATTCAAAGATGTCCATCGAATGAAACTAAATTTGGCCACAAAAAAAAAATTATTCCTTACCCCCAACGTTAGAGATGAACATTGTCCTCAATGTACAAAGAGAACAACTACAATACCCTTCATGTTCAAGATGAATGTGGAGATAATAGTGTGAAGGCATGCATAACGTTTGCCGTGTCCAATAGTCATTGGAAATCTAGTAAAAAAAAACAAACTATGCGCATTTCTTGGCCAATATAGTGTGCATAACAGAAATTATGGGTGAAACATAAACAACTAACATATCAAATCAAACCAAAGTTATCAAAACTTAAACATTAAACAAAAATCTAAAATAAATTCAAAACAAAACTCAAAATTATAGTAGAGAGCTTGGGTTGCCTCCTAAGAAGCGCTTTTTTAGAGTCGTAAGCTCGATTTTTTGATTCCTTTAATTTGGATCATCTAGGAAAAACCAAACCCTTATATCCCTCAATCCACCATACACAAAAGGCTTCAATTGTTGTTCATCTACCCTCTCAAATTCAGCCTCCATAATCCTAGAGTTGACTAAACAATTTTCTAGAGGTGAGCTAGGGTAGTTTTCTTCTAAGGTTTTCGTTACTTTGTCATCAAAGATGCTAATCTCAAAGAAAGTATCTAACTCGGATGGACATCTCATTGTGTTAAAAACATTGAACTCCACTTGTTCGTCTTCCACCCTTAAGATTAGTTTACCTTGGTGTACATCTATTAAAGTCATGCTCGAAGCTAGAAAAGGCCTTCCTAATATTAAAGGTGTGTCCTGGTCTTCTTCCATATCAAGAACTACAAAATCTATCGGAAAAATAAATTTGTCTACCTTTATTAGTACATCCTCCACCATTCCCATAGGATATGTTATGGATCTATCCGCCAATTAAAGATGAATCGTGGTTGGCTTCACCTCTCTTAAACCAAGTTTCCTGAAAATAGAAAATGACATTAAGTTAATGCTAGCTCCTAAATCACATAAAGCTTTATCAAAATAAAAACTACCAATTGTGCAAGGAATATTAAAATTCCTTGGATCTCTTTATTTCAGTGGTAGTTTCTTTTGAAGCAACACGCAACATTCCTCGGTGAGCATGACCATCTCATGGTCTTAAACCTCTTTTTTTGTGTAAGGATCTCCTTTAAGAACTTGGCATACTTTGGCATTTGCTCTAACATATCTACAAAAGGAATGTTAATGTGTAAAGTTCTAAATATGTCCATGAACTTACCAAATTGCTTGTCTAATCTCTGTTTCTGCATTCTGTGAGGATACAGGAGAGATGCTTCATCTTTCTTCATATCTTGGTCTTTGTTCTCAAGTTCTGGTTTTGTGCCTAGGCATTGTGTTGAGGCATTGTTGGTTCTGTCCAACTTCATGTCTTCAGCTTTTTCCTTAGTTTCTTCAACTTTTCTTGATTCTTTCAACTCCTTACCACTTGTCAACATGATGGCACTGAGTTGCTCCTTTGGATTCTTCTCGATATCACTCAAAAACATTCCTTGAACTCTTCCCTTTAAGATATTATGAATTTGTCCCATTTGAGTTTCAAGGTTCCTTATGGAAGCGGATTGATTTTGTAACAAGACTTCATATTTCTGAAGTTGAGCTTCATTCTTGTCAAATCTTTTACCCGATTCCTCCATAAACTTTGTAAGCACGTCCTCCAAATATGATTTCGCCACTTGAACTTGAACACTAGGAGGTGGCTTAGGAAAATTGTTGTTACTCCAAGAAAAATTTGTATGGTTTCGCCATGCTGGAGTATATGTATTAGAGTATGGATTCTATTGCTCTCCTTGAAAATTGTTGACATAATTTGCTTGTTGAGGTGGAGCAAATGGATTCCCTACTTGACAATCTCTTGACAAATGATTCCCTGCACAAAATTCACAAGTTAGAGAACGAGTTTCAATAGCATTTACCTTTAGGGCAACTCCTAATTGCTTTTAGATCGTTGAAAGTTAAGCAGCCAACGCGGTATAACCATCAACTTCGTGCACTCCCGCTGCTTTCCTTGTTGAATTTCCTCTGGTGTTTTGTTATTCAAGGCTCCCCCACTTGCGGCATCTACCATGGCTTGTATATTTGACATCAACCCATTGTAAAATGTTTGCACTTGCGACCATATTGGTAACCCATGGTGAGGACACCTCCGTAAGAGATCCTTATATCTCTCCCAAGCTTCATAAAGCAACTCCATATCTTGCTGGAAAACCTTGTGATGTCACTCCTCATCTTGGCTGACTTGATCGGCGGAAAATACTTTGCAAGGAACACTTGAACTAACTCATTCCAAGTAGTGATGCTTCTAGCTAGGCGGTAAAGAAATTAACCAAGCCTTAGCTTTATCCCGAAGAGAGAATAGGAAAAGCCTTAACCTAATTGCATCATCAGATACCCCATTATGTCGGAATGTATCGCATAGCTCTAGAAAATTTGTGATATGCAAATTAGGATCATTGCTAGACAACCTTGTGAATTGAATCGAATTTTGTATCATCTGAATAATGTATGGCTTTATCTCGAAGGTATTTGCTTGAATCGGTGGTCTCCTAATACTAGAAACACATCCATCAATTGTAGGTCTTGAGTAATCCTTGAGTGCCCTTTGAACTTCCCCTCCTCCTGTATAATAAGGTCCAACACTAAAAATACAGAAATAAAAATTAAAGCACTAAAAACAAAAAATAAATAAATAAATAAATAAATAAAAATAAATTACAAACCAAATTAGCAACTAAATAGCTTGTATTGATACTGATAATATAATAATTCCCTAGCAACGGCTCCAAAAACTTGTTGTGGATTTTTGCAAGTGTATGAAATCGTGCAAGTAATAAAGTATAAAATTACAGATATAGAACCCAAGGGAATTACTACTATCAATTACCAATTAAACTATCATATTACTAATTGATCAATCCAAATTGTATTAAGGAAAATCTAAACTAAATTAACAATTGAAATTAAAAAGCGAACTGAATAGAGGACAATTAAAATAAACCTTTGGGTTAAAACAAGATGACTAGACCTAGGGCATAGACTTCATACCAACTCTTACTCATATGTATCAATCACTTATACTAATTTTATTAAGCTCTTCATGTAGGTTAAACACCCTAAATTTCCAATAAATTTCTCTTGAACAATTATCGAATTAACTCCTAATTACTAACCCGAATGATCTCCAATAAGATTTAAGCAATTGAAGATCATTACGCTCTATAGAGTCTACCAAACCCTCATAAGTCGCGGTAACCTATCTCTAGCGTTCGCTCAACCTATGGTTTCACTACCATAGACCAACCAAGTATCATCTCTTGATCTCAACCTGGTCCATTAGTTCATTCAATTCAAGGGCCCTTAAGAATCAAAAGCATTAGGTATAATAGTAAAACTTAGGAAGAATTCTTAATAAAAATTAACAAACATAAATCAATACATAATCAAGAGATTGGGCTACATTTTAGCCCTAGAGAATAAATTTAGTTCATAATAAACATAAAAGAAACAATCATCTTTATTAAAACAATCATCATGAGTTTATAAGAAAAGAACAAGAAAAAAACTTCTCTAAATTGTGAATCAAAGCTCCATAACTTCTGTTACTTCTCTTCTCTACAGATTTTTCTTCCCTTCTTCTCCCCCAGGGATCCCAAAAATAATGCTAAAAGACTTCTATTTATATCCCACAAGGGTTAGGGTTTAATTTTCCTTAATTCTATTTGGTTTTGGACTCTTAACCCTATTTTCCTACCTAAAAACGGATGACAATTTCTTAATGTTAGACCTGTCGTCACGGTCACAAAGTTAAACCTAAGTACCGTAGTTAGCGGTAAGCAGGGTCAAATCCACAGAGAGCAAGACTAACGACCTAATGTATATTTGAGTTAATGAAAGAGAAATTGGCAAAATGATTGATTAAAACTAAGGAATCTAATTACTTGCAGGAAATTAAAAGCATTAAATAAATTGCTAACTAAAACACAATATTAAAAGCGTTGTCGCTACGGGTTCGGTTTGACTCAAGACCAACTCTCACAATTCCTCTCCTCGCTCTTCAATTTCCTAATCCTACAAGGCTAGGCAAATCCATAGAAATATCTCCCGGCAATCTAGGCATAATCTATCCTGTCTCCCCGTCGTCTTAGTTACAGATCGATTGGTTAAAGACTATCATTGACTAACCGAAAAATGCTAAACCCTTAAACACCACTAGTTGGTACAACGTTAACAAGTACAACCTATCAACCTGTATCATCCAATCAACTAATTACACAATAAATGCATTCCTAGTAGAAATGATATTAAACGCTACTACAACTTGATTGCAATCAGTACCGAAGCAATTTAAAGTCATAATCAACATTCAATAATCTCAAACCGACATTCAATTATGCGAAAAGTTATATATCAATAAACGTTCTCAATGGACATTATCAATTCAACACGTTGAGCATCAAAATAATATTAAAGTATCGCAAACAAATTGAAACGAAAACAAATATAATCTGAATACAAGAAACTTAACCAAATATCCAACATTCGGGCTCATCCAACTAGTCGAGAGCTGATGAGGAGATCAGTGGAGTCAATCTCGATCTCGTCTACATCGTAACGGACAACCGGGAACTTAGCCGCTCATGATGGTGATGACGGAGGCTGAAACGGTGGAAAAGAAGCTGATCATGGCGAATAGGAGGTAATCAACAGCGATATGATGCGAAGAATGGCCGAAAACGACCAACGGACAGCCCGGAATACGAACAGCCGCACTTCGCCAGAAAACGTTAATTTTCCGGCGGGTCTTCCGAAAAACGGTGGCGGAAATGGAATCCAAAGGTACCGATGAAAAGCTCTGGTGATGGGGAGTTCAGATCAGGTCCTGGGGAGATGAGAATTCGTCGAAAATGAGCAGGATCTGGCTTGGAAGATGAAGAGGCGCGACGGCAAAATCACGAATTCCGGAGGTTTTCGCGGCGGCTGAAGCTAGGGAAGTGTAGATCCGGCCGTGGGGAAGGGAGATCGACCCTTGGGGAGCTGGAACGTCATCGAAAAATGGCCAAAACTGGCCGAGAAGATGAAACGACGCGGTGGTGGGAGACGAATCGTCGCGGCTGTGTGATGTTTCACGGTGGCGGCTTGCGGTGGCTGATGACGGATCGGTGCATGGGGAGATGAATCGTCGTCGGAGGGAGACGAAGGGTCGCCGGAGCTCGCCAGAAAACTAGGTGAACAGCCCCCTAGTACGCGACTTTTCATTTTCTTTTTATAGAACAAAATGTAAAATACCATTTGGTCCCTGCATGTTTGAAAGTGACAAAATCAACCCCAAGATTATGATAATTTGACCCCTGAATGGCATAAATGAGACAACATCAACCCTAGAAAATAAATCACATCCTAATATCAACTTACACAATCTCAAATTTCAATCCAAACATGCCAAATTAGTAAGAAAAACTCAAAATATGATTTTTAAACATAAATTCATAATTTCTCTTAATTGTCTCAATATAACTTCAATTCAATTACACATAGGGTCTTTTTGTCACCAAAATAGAGTCACTTTCATGATTCTAACACTTAACTTCCGTGACCGTGCCCCGGCATTGTGCTGTGACATGGTAGCTACTAGAAAAAGTGTGCTACGGCACTGTGCTATGGCACAGTAGCTACTGGCTAGAGTGTGCTGCGGCACAGTAATCTCTTCTTCTTCCTGCATCATTCCACTATTCTTCAGAGATGGTGATTTTTGAACACGATAACGATGAAATTTGGAGAAGTGGACAACATATGAAATGTAGTCCTTTGAATCAGATTTTCCAAAAGTCAAAGAATCTTCTTAATCAGAGTTCTACAGCTCAAGATATTCTCAAAGGACCGAGGCCTACTCAAGCTGGAACGTAATCTAGAATCTTCTCTTGACTTCAACTTCCATAACTTCTTCAATTTAACTCCGATTCTTGATCTGTTTGTTTTCACTCATCGTTCATTCTATTTTTGACATGATTCTTCATCCGAGCATAACATTTAAGCACTAATAGCCTGAAAAACACTCAAAAACATATGTGATCTCATAAAAGATAATTATGAAAATATTAAGCAACTTTACCCAATTAAGCCTAATTTCCCATAATTAATCCCCATAACCCACTAACTAAATGTGTATTTTCAAGCTCTTATCAAGTAGTTGTCTTTTAATTGGCTGCTCTTGTGATGTCTTTGTCGAAGGTCAGGTGGTTGCATTCTTGATTAGGGAGTTTTCCCAAATGTCCACTGCGTTTGGGTTGCCTGGTGTGATGTTTGCAGGGTGTAGGCTGGATCTTGGTGTTCTGTTGGTTGTTTTGTGCTGGGGGAGGTTTTGTTTCCTGCTGGTTTCTGTTTGGCCTGACTGTTTATGGTTTTTGTCCAGCCATTTTTTGATGCGACTAAATCAACCTTAGCAAGTGCACTAGTCGTGTTCAAGTAATAAAGTGATGAGATTGAGTATCGTCCCACAGAGATCAACGCGAATATTTGTAATTACCTAAAACTACTTACACGTTATTTGAGAAAACGAAATCTTAGAGTGTAAAAGTAACGGATTAAAAATAACTAAATTAAACAAATAAATAATGTGATGAACTTTGCAATATTAATG